CGGGAGGAAGGGAGAGCCTTCCACAAGGCAGCAGGGAGGGGGACATATAGGTGACGGTGCAAGTGGGAGGTAAGGATGGGAGTGGGTTGTTGTAAGACTGAGCTGGAAGAGAAAGAAAACTGGAGGGCTGACTGGAAGAGAGAAAGGTGGAGGGGGAGACAACAGCCCCACCCCCCAGTGCTCTCTCCTCTCTTTCTCCCCTCTTCCCTCTCCTCCTTGCCAAACCCTGGCCAGCTTGCCTTATCCCTTAAGCCTCCCCAGCCCTCTTCAGCCCAAAGTGGCCTCTCCCTCTCTCTGAACTCAGGCTCTTACCATCCATGCACCTCATCTGGCAATTAATCCTGGCACCTTATGACACTGCTTGCATGGCTGATTAACTCTTGCATGGTTGCTTAAGCTTTTGAGCGTCCCTGTCCCTGCTTTACCATGAGACTGTAGGCCGCTTGAGGACAGGGACTGGAGACTAGGGCTTCCCTTCTTTGTTGTCCCCCATAGTTCCTAGCTAGGAGCCCAATACGTAGTAGGTGCACAGAACTTTGTGTTTATTGACTGGCTGGCTTATTGGGAGTAGATGAGAGGCTATCTGGGAGTATGGGGGTGAGAGCGATTGCAGTGGTAACAGAAACAAGAGCGGCAGCTGAGGGGACTGGGGGAGGGCACATTACCCAGAGTAAAAATAGGCTGGAAAATGTGACATTTATTAACTTGGATTCCAGAGGAAAGGTCACAGTAGAGTGGGGAGTGGGAAGGAAGAAACAGGGTAAGCAACAGAAAACACATTAATAGCCCCTTACTGAAGCCAGTCGCTGTCACTGACCATTTTACCACCCACACCCTGACAGGGTGCCCACCCATATCCCCATCACAGACCCCCTTATCCCTACCAAGGACTCCATGTCCTTCCCACTGAGCTGATGGTGGACCTCATGCCTTCCTCAGAGCTCTGGTGTCTTCATATCCCTTTTCCAGTCTTGCCTGGATAACACCCTCTTCTTCCACGGATCAAAAGCCCCATCTGAACTCCTAATTCCAGACCCTGGTGCATTTGCAGCAGACTCAGCCAGAGAATGCCAGGTCCAGGGAGTTTCGCTCAGCAGATGGTGGATGGGGTGTGAACAGAAGGGCGTGAGTCCAGGCTGGGCTGGGCTTTGGGGAAGAGGATCACCAAAAGGAAATTCTGTCCCCTATGCTTACTTTGCCCCTTCTCCCTTTGTTATCTGGATGAAGCCCCAGAACTGAAACCCACAAACTTCCATCTTCCCCTCTCCAGCCCCAAGATACCTAAGAACCTATGGGAAATCCTTCCTCTCTCCTCCCAGCCCTCTCAGGATTCCCAGGGACTCCCCATTCCCGTAGCCTCCAAGTGTCTCCTCCCTTTCTGGGAGGAGACTCAGTAGGAACCCCATTCTCGGGCACCCCCACCCCAATCTCTTCCTCCCCTGCCCTCCCATCAATGCTGACACTGACTTATCATTACCCTTCCCCTTTCCTGCCCACCCCCAACCAGAGCCCGGGGACACAAAGACCCCATTGATTTCTACCCCAACAGCAACTGCTGAGCCTGGGCTCCCCCCACCACCACCATGGATCCTAAAGGCCTCCTTCCTGAGGACTCTCCCAGCCTTGGCTCTGGGAGCAGTGATTTTTCCTAGAAGACAGGATATTCAGCCGGGCAATAGGCCCATGCCCTGTGACTGCTCCCAGCACAATCCTCTCCTTCCTGTGGCTCTGTTTCTATCTAACTCCCCCCACTTTGTAGCAGGAGGCCCCAGACACAGCAGGCATGATGGGGGCCAGAAACCTGGTCGGAGCATGTTTTCCTGGTGATACTGAGATAATGAATGAGTGAAAGCCTAGGTGTGGGGGGCTGGGCCACAAGGAGGGAAAGTCCCAACCGCTGCAGGAGGCTGGGTCTGAGTGGGTACCATGTTGACCCACACATTTGCACATGCAGCCAGCAGTGACACGGGAGGAAACACAGGCGCGCGCGCGCGCACACACACACACACACACACACACACACACACACACAAAATGCTGGGAGTCAACCCTGGACTGGGGACAGGCATCCTGAGCACTGTCAATAATGGATAGCTGGTGACTGTGGGTGATTGGAGCCCTGGGAGACAGACAAACAGCAAACAAGACACGCCTCCACACTCACACACCTGACTGTGGGAGGTGTGCAGGGCACAGCAGCCGGAGCTGACACTCCACTCCCTGGGAGGGTATGAGTGTTTGTATTCACACATATGTGAGCGACTGCACCCGCAGTCCCCACATGGAGAACAAGGAGCAGCAGTTGGCATAGGTGGGAGCGTGTCAGGAGGCAGGATGGCATCCACAGTATGACCCCATCCTTGGCAGCCAAGAGCTGGGATATGGGCACAGAGATGAGTAGCTCTCTGGGTGCATGGGCGTGTGGGTGGGCAGGTGTGCACATGAGTGTGGTGACAGGGACACTGTGTATGAGCGAGAGAGTATATGGGAAACTGTGTCCCCAGGCAGAAGTGTGTGCCAGCGCCATGGGTAAGTTACGCACACAGAGTGAATCCCAGTGTGAGCGCCAGAGCTGAGAAGGGGAACAGTAAGAACAGGGGACAGAGGGGGGCACTGGCAAACAGGAGAGGCCTGAGGGGAGCATGAAAGAGGGATGTGTGCAGGCGGCTGTGAGGGGGGTGTGAGAGACACAGACACGGAGAGACACTGGCACCCAGTGTCCATGAAGCCCGCTGCTGGGCCAGCTCCCCAAAAGGAAGCCCTGAGTCTTCCCTTGCCAGAGCCCCCCCCCGAATACCCCTCCCTGTCACCTTCGTTTGGTGGGAAGAAAAAGAATTCAGTAGCCCCAGAAGAAAAGGGGAGCAGGAGCAAAGTAGGGCCCAGCTAGTCTGGCCTTGGGATGGTGCATCCCCTCCCTGCCAGCTGAGCAAATTCAGGACCCCTGAGCTCACCTCTGGATGCCCCTGGCCCTGGTCTTGGGCATCGAAGCAGCCACAGGACCAAGAAGAGGAGCAGCGGCACCCGGGTAAGCCCCTAGGAGCATCCCCTGCTCCAGGGCTGGGAAGCCAGAGGGAAGCACCAGCTGGGGGAGACACACGAGGCCTGCCTCCGGCAGCAGAAGGAAGGGAAGCCCTGTTGAGGATACCCCTCACGTACCCCCCCCCCAGCTTCTGGCCACCCCAGGCCAGGTAGCCCAGCTGGCAGAACTCACCACGGAGAAGTTGCTGGCAGAGCAGTGGCGCCCACTGAAGTTGCAGCTCTTGAGCATGTCGGCGAGCTGGTGGCCAGTGCGGTTCAGGATGTCTACCATGTCGGGCTCCGGGTATCGCAGGCCAGCTGCACGGTGCCCGTCCCGGTCTTTGGGGGGCAGCCCTGTCAGATTGGCCAAGTGGAAGATGTCAGCATCGCTGAGTGCTGAATGCCGGAAGCGGTTGATGTTGCAGAGGGTGACGGCCGGGAAGCCCGCCACTGGGGCAGGGGCAGCAGGGCCCATTGCCACCAGGTGAGGCCGGGTCAGGTAGCCCCGGGCCAGGCCGACTGCCTGGTACAGGAAGGCAACCAGCGAGGTGAGTAGGGCCAGTGCCCATAGGGTTCTGCGTAGTCCATGGGCGTGTGGGCCACAGGCCCGGCCCAGCCCGTGTAGAGTGCTGGTGCTGGCAAAGGTAGCCAGGTCCCGGGGGGCTGCTGCCCCCTGAGCAGCCCCGAGGAGGCTCTGCTCATCCCCTGCCTCCTTCTCCTTGGGTTTCGCATCCTCCTCAGCAAATTTGATTTTGCACACAATCTCAATCGGCATCTGTCCCTGGCTGCTGGGACTGGCCAGAGCCTCCCTGCCCCTGTCCCTCCCTAGCTGGCAGCCTGGTGCCCTCCGGAGTGGTGGTGGTGGCAGCGGCTGCTCTTCTAAACTCAGGGCAAGCGGGAGGAAGACCGGGACAGGGTGGGGGCCCGAGGTGGGGGCGTCACTCCCACTCCCAGCAGCTCCGCAGCCCTGGTGCTGCCTCTGCCGCTGCTGCCTCTGCTGCCGCTTGTCTCTCTCCTCGATCGTCTCCTTGTGGCTTCCCTTATCAGCACCAGCACAGCTGTCAGCCCCTGCGTGTGTCCCTGCGAGAGAGCGAGCGAGTGAGCGAGGGAGCGAGCGCTGCTCCGCCACGCAGCGCAGCCCCAGCCGCTCCACTCAGCATGTGCTCCGGAGCCCACCCCGTGCTTAATAATTCAGGACATGTCAACAGCGTTTCACCGGCAGCACGGGCGGCAGGAGCCAGGCCAGGAAGGGGAAAGCCCCGTGGCTCAGGGCAGGGATCCCAGTGGTGGGGGAACTGACCCCCAAACTCTCGCTATGCCCCAGCCACTCACAGGGGTGCCCAGGCCACCCCAGGGAAGAGTGCTGTGCCCAGACTATTCAGCCTGCTCTTTGCCACTTTTCTGGACCACACCCACAAAGGGTCAGACAACTCTGTCCCCCACCTCCTGGCCTCCGTAACCCCTGACTCCAGTGGCCACCTGATCCCACTACCCCACTTATAGCAAGCAGCTTCCAGAAACTCCTTGAGAGCCACTTGTTTGAATGAAGGAGGGGAAGGGAGAAGAGGGCAGGAAAGACAGACTGGGGACAGCTGTGACTCCACCAAGGTTCTAGACTTTTCTACAGCTTCGAGGCCAACTCAATGCCCACTGTACCCCTGACCCTCTAGGAAGCTTCCTTCCTCTCCCTCAGCACCCATCTCTGCCCATTTGGGACACGGGGCACCATGGCTGATTTGCATATCTGTGGCCAACTTCACTTCACCGAATGAGTCTTCTTGGCACAAACTGGCTTGAGATTAGGGTACAGGACAACAGGCCAGAGAGTAGAGGGGAGCCCTCAAAGGCAGGGGGAGAGGGTGTGGAAAGGAGGAGAGTCCAGATAGAGGTATAGAGGGGGCAGGAAGAAGTGCTGGCTTCCCTGGGAAGGAGGGAATGCCTGCTAAGGACACCGATGGTGATGGTGATGATGATCATGATGATCATGATGATCATGATGATCATGATGATACCAGGTCCCTGGTCACCTGGCAGAGTGGAGCCTGGCAGCCCTGGGGACTGCTGTCTTCTTGCAGAGGGGTAAGCAGCCTGTGGGCTGTTGTCACAGGCAGAGGTGGGGAGCCTGTTGACTGGCCGGGAGGAGATGCATCCTTGCCCCCAGGGTGGGGGTGGCAGGAACGAACCACTTGTGCTCTGGGGGGCCCTACGGAGTGTGAGACCTCATGGGGAAGGAAGCACTTGTTCCCTGGAGGAAAAGGGGGGCTGATTAATCGGGGCGCTAATGAGCAGCAGGGAGAGGAAGCTCTGAGGGGCGGGGGAGGCGGCTCCATCGATCCAAGCCGCGGAACCAGCAGCTGAAAAAAAAAAAGTGAGAAGGGAATCGATCTGAGGGAAACGGCAGCTGCTGGGGATTAGAGCCCGAGGTCCACCCGCTGCCCAACGGCCACCCCTCCCCTTCGTCAGCCTGGCCCCAAGGGCGGAGCAGGCGATGATGGCTCCCTTGAGGGCAAGGCGCTGCTCTGCCCACCCTGGCTACAAAGCCAGGTCAAGCCCCCTCAGGGTCAGCCCAGCATGGAGCTTGCCCACACCCAGTCCAGCCAAGTGTGGCATCTTGCTGAAGTTGTACTGTGCCTTTCAGTAAAGTGGCCTCCCTGGGAGGGGGTACAGCTAGGCTTCCCCATATAAGCTTCTATTGAGTCTGGGGAGCAGCACCCCAAACTGGAGAGATAAGACCCTTGAGGTAAGGGGCTGCCTCTGGCTGAGACACAGTATCCCAGAGGGCAAAGTGCAGTTGGCACCGGGAGCAGCTGCTGAGTTGGTACTCAAGTCCAAGAGACCACAGACACCTCCCTCACTGCCCCGTCTCCCAGCAGCCCCTCCCCAGGCTCCCTCCTCCTTGGGAGGCTTCCAGATCTTTCTAGAGCTCCCCCTACTTCTCCCCATCCTTTTCTCTCTTCCCCTTTCTCCCAATATTGATTTTTCTTTACTGTTCTTTTTTTTTTTTAAGGTGATTTAATTGCTTTTTTAAGGTTACTTCAGTCTGGGGCTCTGCCAAGAAAGTGGGAGCTGCCCCCCAAGCTCTCCCCAGCACCTGCCACTGCCTTGGCATCCATACATGTCCCTGAATTCCCCTGCTGTCTGCTGAGGTCTCAGGGTCACACTGACCCCAACCACAGGTGGGCCTCCATCATGAGCCCAAGTCACACTCTCCTCGCTCCAGAGGGATGCAAGAAACCTTCAACCTCTAAAAGGAATGAAGTTGGGTGGTCACTGGAGGACCTGAGGGGAGCCCAAGGTGGGGTGGGGTGGAGGAAGTGGAGCATCAGTTAGGCACAGCCTAAACAGCCCGATTGCCAGCTGTCTCCAGTTGTCCCTAAGTGTCCACCATCCAGGCTCCTGGACCTCCAGGAATCTGGCTTTGCTCAGTGGGAGTCACCCCTCAAGTCCTTCCAGCCCTTTGCCTCTCCTGGCCCCCTTCCTGTCCCTCTGCACCCCCTTTGACTCTCCCCTCCCAACCCTGTCCCCTCTCCTCCCCTCTGCCTGCTTCCCTGCCTGCCTCCCTCTCTGCCCGGCTGCAGTTGGGTGATAATCTCCCTCATTTAGCCTCCCGGCTGCTTCCCCGGCTCATTGCCCAGCTGGTCCCTGGGGCCCAGCCCAGCTTCTTCCCCACCCCCACCCCGGCCCTGTGCCCAAGCTTCCGGTGTCCTCCCTCCTTCCCTCACTCCCCGGGTACCCATGGTCCCTAGTAGGGAAGCACCAGGGCCATGGGTGGCTGGCCCAGAACCTGAGCTGAGTGTGAGCAACAGGGAGGGGCTACTAGGGTCCTGGGAGTGTGGGAGGAAGGCTGCTGTAGGCTCAGGGTGTAAAGCCTCAGCCTGGGTTCCTCTGCCCTTCAATGTTCCCATTCCCCAGATTTGTTCCCAGTCCAGTCCTACCCCCAGAGATTAGAATGGCAGGGCTAGGGATGGGGGGTGGGGCGAGGGGTAACAGGAGGGAGGATGGTTCTGGCCTCTGGACCCTGGGAGCATGCATGGAGGTTTTATGCGGGCAAATGCCCCAAAGGGAGACCTAAGATCACCCAGTATTCAACTTGGGGTTCCAAGGAAGCCTTTCCTCACAGGGGACTCCCACGCTAAGCAGCACATGCCCCTTCCTACCATGTGGGACCCGGACTCCCTGCCAGGTTGGCTCCATTCGTAAACTGCATGTCTAACCCCTCACACTCCCCAGCAGCATTCTCTGGAGAGACAATCCCCAACCTCCACCTGCTCCCAGGGGACACCCCCTTGCCACCTCCCGCGGCCCAGAAACCGGCTGTGGTGTGGACCAGGGATGCGCCAGTGTGGGACAGATGCGGCCGGGGAGGGACCAGGATGGGGAGGCCAGGGCCGGGCCGGGCCTGGCTGGTGAGCGAGCAGCGGTGACAAACGGGCTGTGCGGGGGCCGAGGGGCGGGGGGCGGACGGCGGCTGATTTATCTGGGTTATTTATGCCGCGGACGAGGCAGGAGAAGCGGTTAACGAGAGTCCCAGCGAAGGGGGTGGGGAGGCCCGGACGTGATCTGAGGCGACTGAAGAGAGTTAGCGTCCCACCGCCAGGCCCTGCCCCCACGTCTCGGGTGCTCCGTACCCCCCCCATCTCTCTAGGCCAGCCCAGAGCAGCACTCTCTGTGGCGTCCGGTACCCCCGATCCCTGCACAGGGCCATGGGCCATCAGGACTGAAAGAAATGCACTGGGTCCAAGATTTGGGGGCATCTGAGGAGGGCACCAGGAAAGGCAGGCAAGAAGGACAAATTCTGGCTGGCCAGAAACTGGCCAGACTGCAGGGCCTGAGGGGCGGGCTAGGATGGGAGAGGGCAGCGCGGGAGTGGGTGGGCTGTCTACAGTCTCCGAGCTGAGGCTGGAGAGAGGGCAAAGGGCAGTGGGCACAGATCTGGGGAGCTGAGTGGCAAGGAGGCTGGGCAGGAGGGGGCTCTGGTCAGAGAGCAGCGAGAGCTGGGAAGGAGGGGGAGAAGATTCAGAGAAGGAGGGGGAGAGGGCTTTGCAGCAGCGAAAGCTGCTGGGAGCAGATAAGGCGGCACAGCAGCAGGAGGGATTAAAGCTCCGAGGGGCATGGGGGGAGGCGTGGGACGGGGGGGGGGGCAGGGAGGAGAGGGCTGAGGGCAAGACAGCTAGGCCAAGGAGATGAGTGGGAAAGTGAGGGCTGCAAGGGGGCAGGATATAATCAGGGGCCACGAGGTGGCCATTAACTGGGAAAAGAGGAAGGGACCCTTGATTATCCGTCTGGGGAGGAAGACTTTTCTGCCATTGACGGAGTCTCCACACCCTGCACTTGTCAGGGCAACAGAACTAAGCGCAGGGATGTGCTTCCGTAGGGTAGTGGAGGATTATTCGGAAGCAGGGACGAGGCAGAGGCCGCCCTGGGAGCCTCTGCGCTGATGGCTGGAGACTGAGGGCCCACAGCGCCTCCTAGGGGCGGCCAGTGGAACACAGTAGGGCCACTGGTAACCAGTCTTGCCCCGGCACGGAGACTCCATTAGACCCAGGCTACGGCAAGGACCAGAATTTCAGAGGGAGCTTCTTTGTGGGAGGGGAACAAGCTTAAAACGGGACAGAGTGGGCCCTGGATGTCCCCACCCCTGCTCTGCTAGCCTTGCAGAATGGAGTGTTTTGGTGCAGGTGAGGCCGGGTCCCTCCAGATCGGAGCCCAGGCAATTCAGAGGTGGCCTTGGTGGCGGAAGGGGGCCTCCGAGGGAAGAGAGGGGAAGAGGAGGGGCTGAGGGAGGGGAGCGGGGGTGGCAGGCGGGGCTGGGTAATTGCATGTTTGCCAGTTCTCCGTCTCTGCACACGAGGGAGCGCGTGTTGGTGGGTGCAGCTTCACATGAGTGTGTGTGTTGGCAGAGGTGTCAGTATGCCTGTCTCAGGGGTGTGGGCTCTCTTTGGCCCCCACCCCCATTGTGTTTTGGGGAGCGTGGCTCTGGGCACACCCAGCTGTGCTCCTTGCTGATGCGGCAGATGTGGCGGGGCCCCAGCTGTGCCTGCTTCCCAGAGAAGGGGGAGAGGGCTGCAATCTGCTCCCCGATAATGGCTGCTAAGTGCCAAAGGGAGGGGATGGGGATGGGGACGGAGGTGGGACTAGGGCCCTGGGCAACCCTGCCAAAGGCGCTGGGACCCCACCTACTCCACACCACCCGGTCCAGCGCCCCCCCCCCAGCCTGCGTTCTTGGCTCGGTCTCTATCCCTCCACTGGCTCCTGAAGCCCATCCAAATTTCACTCCGTCCCTGTCCCCAGCTCTCCTTCCATGGCCCCATCCAGCTTGGTGCCAGGGACCCACCCCCCCTCCCCGCTTGCTCCCCCTTGCCGATTT